CACGGAGGCTCTTCACAAAAAACTAGTCTTTACTTGGGTATGTCTTTCCTGTCTTTGTATATTAATTTTGTCTCATGTATTTAATTCTTACCTCAGAGCATATTATTTATTAAATATTCTGGGTGTTTCATATGTGTTAGTTTTATATGTATTGATATATAATAATTTAATTTTTTATAAACAATATGATGTTGATACATACTCATCATTTGGTAGTTAATTGGTAAGACGAGTATTGAGATGTGTTTTTAAAACGCACGATTGGTTGGATATTGTGCTAATCATCTACATGCCTACAAGGAATATGAAATTTGTATCTACAAAACCTTGTTGAAATTTAATATAAATCCTACCTTATATCAAGTCACTTCAAATAAAGAATTAGAGATAATTACTCTTAAATTAATTAAAATTGTAAAATGCATCTGAAATTATTTTATAATTTTAATTTTGCCAATTTTGTTGAAGGCTTCAGACCGCCTAAGCTTTGTTTGTATAATATCTCCATGATGACGAAGAAGGCTATTCTGGGAAATTTACCAATAACCCGAAGATGGGTACTGTACACATTATTTCTGAAACTGAAGTTGGCGGTCTGGCCGTGGACGCTGAACACATAACTAATTAGGCGGCTCACGATAGCAAACACCACCATATAATCACAGTTACTCTCAGCAGTCAGCACGCCCCTATATAAATCATTGCTTCTTCATTAATTTCTAGAACAATCAAGAAGCATTAATATCAAACCTGAGCAAGATAATTAAGAAGAAGAGAGAAAGAGAGAGAGAGAGAGAGCGCGCGCGAGTTGACTCACTCGGTGACTCCGTTACTCATTTACTGAGTGAGTTAATTCGATATGGAGAACCAGAAGACTCGGATATTGGTGGCGGTGAAACTGACTCAGTCGAGTGGTGAAGGCTACCCGTACGCCTCGGAAAGCAGCAAAGCAGTGTTCGAGTGGATTCTTCAGAACATCGTTCGCACTAACGTTACTCGTTTCGACCTTCAATTCCTCAATGTCCACAGTCCAGATTCTCGTACGTACTTTATAATCTCTTTCTCTTTCTCTTCCTTATTTCTATTTTTGTTAACTTTCTGTTTGGTTCCCGAGAAAATGGAATTTATCTGTTTGATTCTCGAGAAAATGGAGGCAAGTAGTTAAATCTTGAATTTATACAACTTTCCAAGAAATTAAATGGAAACAAAATTGTTACATAATCTTTATTCTGCGTTTTAGACGGATAATCAAGAAATTCATTAGAAATTAAAGTCTTCTTTTGAATTATTTAATTAAGTAAAATTGGTCTTAATTATTCTGTTCTGTATAATAAAAGTAACTAAATTTCTCAAGTCAATTCCATAATTAATTAAAAACAATCTGATAATTATTTGGTAAAATGAATGTTTGGACAGCATATGCAAAGGATTACCAAGCGGATAAAATGATGGAATATTTTGGCTGCAGATGTCAGATGATTTCGGTAATTAATGGATTTATCATCATTCAAATCCTATTTTTATTTTTATTTTAATTTTTTTGTTTTATTGATATAGATTTAATTCGAAATAGTTATTGCTCTTAGGTTGGTTCTAGCTCAGAGATCAGACTTGGGCATGATCCTAAAATAGAGATATGCAATGAAGTGAAACGAGTCAATCCGGATCTCCTTGTCATGGGAACTACTCCAAAACTTGGTTATTTTCAAAGGTATATATCTATTATATAAATTAAAATATAATATTTATATAATATATGAATTAAACATTGTTAATGTGATATTTTTTGCAGGGTTTTTAGGCGTAATGTGAGTGGTAGCATTAGCATAAATGAATATTGCTTGAAGCATGCTGAGTGTCCTGTTGTGATTGTTAAAACCAGAGCAGATGACCAGAATTAGGTGACAATTTTTTCAGTTGGGGAACTGTGTCAAACTTTGAATTGTTCGAATTCCTTCACCATTTGTTGGTTAAAGTTTTTGGATTTATTGATAATTCTAAAGAGATAAAAAAGACTTACCGTTATGGCGTAGTAAAGAGATTCGTTAGAGGCAAATGCTATCAAAGAGAACAATTCCAAACACTGGAGTGTAGAGAAAAAAAAAAGAGTAGCAAATGTTTATTCAAATAAGGAGTAAAAGGAGTAAAAGCTATGCCAAACACTTGGCGTAGAAATATACTTTATTAACTACTACCGGATGATCTGATGGTAAAAGAGTAAAAGGAGTTCTATAAGTTTTTGAGTTCGAATCACTCTAAGCATCAATAGAGATAGTCACTGAGGCTTCTATTCAGCAAATAGTTTCAAGACCTTGAGAATAGTTGAGATGTGTATAAGTTGACCTTGACACTAGTTCTGGTGATTATACGGTAGAACCTCTTTATAGTTATAATATTGAGACTAACTAAATTTATTACTATGAGGAGGTTATAACTTAATAGAGTTATAGTTACAAGAATTATTGTTTTGATTTCTTATTTTATAATTCATATTTTAATAGTATTAGGATTTCAATTCATTGTTTTAGTAGCATTAGGATAGTATGGAAATGAATGTCAAAGAGTTCTTACAAAATTGAGTGATTAGATTCGACAATTTCACTACACTAATCAAATGCATATTAATATCTTCCTTAATCATCTAAATGGACAACAAATCGTGTATGCTTTAATTAAAGAAAAAATCATTTCTGGAATTAGACAAGAGAACGAAAGAGATAATCTTGAGGATGAATATAGTACAGAAATACCAAAACTTTTGTGCCAAGAAGCTCTAAACATGCAATTAGAAATATTTTAGTATCAACAAGAAGATGTTCATGTTGGCTACTTATTACGTATCCGTAAGATAAAATATATGGTAATAACTTTAAAGCATAAATCATTGTCTCTAACAACTTTAAATAAATATTTTATTTCATTTTAAACATTTAATGTAATATAACATTTTTTTTTAATAATATACATACAATTATTACTATGTAGAGATAAATTCCTTAAGACAAAACCTATAAAAATTATAACTTATTACAATATGAAATTTATTCATATAACTGGTTCAAGTTAATATCAGAATTTTTTTTAATTACATAGAGATTATTCTTGTATGAAGTATCACTGTATAGAGTTTCTATTGTATATATATAATTGCAGAGGAGTTTCCAATTTCTCCTTTGTTTTATTCGCTTCACCCTTGATTGCTTTCATACTTGCATTCTACCAACCCATTCTTTATGTTTTGTTGCAGTAAGTGCTTCCTGTATTGTTGAGAAAATTGATTATCTAATTGATTGATGAACAAGTACTTAAAAAAAATAAAATGAATCCGTATAATTCTAAAATCATTTTTTTAACATGAAAATTAATAGAATTAAATTGATTAGATATCAAGTATTCTCTCTTATAATTAAGAAGCTAACAGAGAGTTGGTTTTTAAAGAGGTTTTTATTTGGACACCCCTAAGGTTTAGTGAAACAACAGAGATCCACAGGTTTCATAATGAAAACTTATACCCTTGTAATTGAATGATGTTTGTGAAAAATAACTCGTATAAAAGTAAAATAAACAATGCAATAAAGAAAACTTGATATATTGACTAATATACACTTATTTTGTTTTTCTACTACATTAAAAAGAAATTAATATCTGACATTAGACACATGGTTAAAATGTTAAATATATTAAATGATTTAAAAATATTAAATTTTAACAATTTGATAAAACAATTGGGGAATAGAAAACTTGTTTTTTTTTATTGTATTACCCTTATAATAGTTACCTTTCACAAACATCATTCAGATGCAAGAGTGTAAGCAACGGCAGACCAGGAATTAATGTTAAAGGTGGCAAATTATATATTATAAAACAGAGAAAAAGTAAATGAGGGAGATTAAATCTAAAAATATTAATACAAATAAAAGGGGGTTAAAGAAAAAATCAGCTAAATTAATGAAAGAAAAATTTTTTAGTAGGGTTATCAACCCCCACTTTTTTTTCTTTTTTTTTTTGTACTTAGGGTGTTCGGGTCAGCTTATGTGTGCCTCAACTAATCTTCAGGGTTTATTAAACACCCTACAAATCTAAAAGACTAGATAAATCATAATATTATTATGATAGATGATCCCAAGAATTCAAGAAATTGAGTAAACTTTTTTTACCACGGCCCACGCTAATCTCTTAGGGTTTCAACCCCCGGTCATTATAACTTGTTCCGCCTATGATTTAAAACTATAAATTATAAAAGTGTTAGGGTTGTATTCCAAAAATTATGCGCCTTTCTTGTTTTTTAAAATTAACCTCAAAGTCAAAGGTGGCAAAGGCGGGCGTTGAGTGTTGACTAGTCAGTTGAGCTGCCCTTTTCGACAGAAATGTGTTTCACAAGCCACAACTGCTTGTTCCATTTGATATGCTTTTCGTGTAATCACGTTTTTTATCTCCTCTTTATTTTGTGGGATATTTTTGTCATTTTCTACTACTTCATCTAACTATATTATATATCGACCATTTTCTGGTTCACCATATAAATTACAAATGAATGAGTAATATCGTACACAAATTTTATGTACAATTTTTTTGTTAATAAACTCAAACATAATTAATTTTTTTCTTTGATTTTTTTTCTACTTTAGATTTTTTTTTTTTTTTTTGGGAAGTTTTCTATTTTTGACACATAAAGAATGAGTAAATATAACCAAATGCCACATGACTTGAGCTGGATGGACACCCATCTCGATAACTAAATAAATTAATATTTATAACAAATCTGCAGAGAATTTTATTTGATAAATAAGATCTGTGTTAATTATTATTAGATAACAGTAATTTTTATACTATTTTTAGGTCAACTAAACAATTATATCACTAATAAACTCAATTTGGTTTCAATATTCGAAAGAATTAAGAAAACTCAAAAAAAAAATTATAAATACAGATACCGCTCATACCCAGCTTTAATTGGAATATTTAATTAGCTGTTCTTGAATTTTATTTTCTTTTAGTTACCTAAATGAAATATTGCAATTAAAATATTAAACACGAATTTATTGTAAATTAAAATTATTAAAAAAAGATATACGATATCACATACGTACACAGCAAAATTCCAAAGAAAAATCAACGTGATAGAAACTGAATGTTTTAAAACACATTAATGATTTGATGTAGGCTGTAGCAAGACTTTTTCTCAGAATATGATGTCTCTGCAGCTCTGCAGCATTATAATAAACTATGTTTCAATGTCTTCGTCTCCGCCACTTACCACCTTCTTCTCATTACTTTAAATGAAACAACATTTCTGACTCTCTTTCCAATCTTCCTTCTCTCTCTCAAGATTTCGCCTTTCCAAAGTTTTGGAGAGAAAGAGTTAAGGGTCCGTGAGTAGGAAGGTTGATCACACTTCACGCCCCTTTAACCAACCATGTCTGATTTAGCTAAAGAAGCCTGGAGAAATACTTATAACAACTCCAAGTACACCCACTGAGACCAAGGTTTTATTCTATTCTTGATCCTCATCAATACCATGTTTTTTTTTTTTTTTTTTTTTTTTTTTTTTGAGTTTTGTTTATTGATTTTTTTTTTTCATTTATCGGGGGTTTATTTTGAAGTTGGTTTTCGGATCTAGTTGTTTTATATCTTTGTGTTTGGGGGTTTTAATGGGGTTGAATTGATTTTTGTTGGGTTTTCAGGCTATTACAGCTGGTATTTTAGCTGGGTGTAGCGATGCAGTTGCCCAGAAGATTTCTGGGATCAAGAAGCTTCAACTGAGACGAATGCTTCTCCTTATGGTACGTTGACTTTGAATACCCTCCGTTTGGCTGCCAAGAAAATGAAGGAAAATTAATTTTCTGATATTTTGATTGTTGAATTAGTTGTAACTTTGAGGGTCAGATTTAATAATGACCTTGTTGAGCGGTGATCAAAAAATTGTTTTTGCAGTTTTATGGATTTGCATATGGAGGACCATTTGGGCATTTCTTTCACAAATTGTTGGATATTCTTTTCAAGGGAAAGAAGGATAACAAAACTGTTGCCAAAAAGGTATTTCCTTTGTTTGAAAATCTATACTTTTCCATGACTATTTCATGTTGTTTCAGTGTTTGATATGGTCTTTTTGTACTCGTTTCCATTATATGCCTCTCAACAATTTTCTAAATCAAGTTCTGAAAATTTAAATTTTGACTGATTAGGTGTTATTGGAACAAGTAACTATTTCTCCTTGGAACAACTTTCTTTTCATGGTGTACATTGGCTTGTTCGTTGAAGGTAAGTGCTTATGAAAATTCATTCTTGCCATAACATGTTTCATCCCTGATGTGTTTATCATTGCTTCTGTATCTACAAAATTTGATTGCATAAGTGTAATCATTTCTACTTTCCATCTCTATACCGCATGAGCTTTGCTTTTATTCAGGGTGTTGGAGTTGACGCTTTATTTTTTGTGATGTTACAACATTCCCATCTGTAGTATCTTTGTTGCTGCTCTTTAGTTGTTGCTGTTCTTCTCATTTTGGCTGTTGTTGCAATTGGTTTTTGTTTTGACCTATTTTCAAAATTGTTGATTACTTTGAAGCCTGATTTACGAAGAAGTGAACAGGGTCATTTGTTCCGAATTCCATACTACTGAAACTGTTGACTTTCCCTAATTCCTCTTTGCTATCTTTTTAAAGAAATTAGCCACGATTGTAGTTGAGGTGGAAGTTAATCATCAATTCCTTAACTGCAAGTTTCAAAACGTCCTAAGAACCATATGTGTTTGTGGTTTTGAACTTAGCCATCAATAAAAAATTATTTTGAATTGCACAGTTGTAGTTGAGTGTGTTCTTTCGAGGCCAATAAGATGAAATGTATGCATCAGCTGTTTGTCTTCTTACCAATCATAGATTGAATAATGATTTGCTGAACAAGTTTAGGTCTTTAATATTTACAAAATTAGAAGTCCCAAAGTTTTGTTTTCAGGTCTTCTTCTTAAAAGTGGATGAAATATAATTAGTAGGATTTTTAAATTTGATTTGGTTGTTTAGTACTTATTTAGCTGGTCCTGATTGTAATTCAAATTTAGGGAACAGATTATAATCATTTGATTGCAAACTATCTATGGTTGATTGTCAACCAGATTTTGCTTAAGTGAATTAACAGAAGTTTTCTTTAACTTTCAAATTTAAAACTGAAATCCTGCTTACTAATAAATTCAGAACTTGGATTCTCAAAAGAAGAAAAGAAAAGAAATGCAAGGACTAGGAAGAGTAACATAAGGTGGAATTACATTTTGCCATTAAAAGATAAGAAAATGTTTGATTCTTTGGATATGGCTTTGTTCTCCAAAAATATTTCTGTTTTTGCTAGAAAATTATCCTCCAAATTTCTGAACTCATAATTTGTTTTGGTATAAAAAACCTGACCAAATGTTTGCCCAAAAGAAAACATGACTTCAACTGTTTTGAGAATGTGTTCATCTTCTAAGATGGGACAAAGCCGTTAGTGAGTGGGATCACTTTAGTGTTTGAGAATCTGATGCTCCGATTTGCTGAAAAGTTTGAATGCAAACACTCTTAACTTACTTTTTCTGTTGTGGTTTACTGACCAACAATAGAGAATCAGATTATTTTCTCCTACTATTTGTGGATGTCTTTGCCAATGTCATTGGATTGTCAAATCTCACATGTTTTTGAAAATTTTCACATTTAGTTTGTCATGCTCAATTTTATTTTGTCCTGCAAACAGTTTGCCCAAAGTTCTCTATATCATTGCATGCTCTGTAGGCATTGACACAAATTTTTGTGCTCATTATTAAAAGCCTAACCAATTGCTTTTAACCAATTTAGTACCTCATAAGAATGCCTATGTCGTAGGATGTTGGATGAAAGTAACTTCGTTCTTGAAAACAGCGCATTAATTTTTGTTAATGTAATCAACTACTTGTTTGTATGTTAAAGTTCTTATCCATATTGCAGGGAGACCATGGGGTCTAGTCAGGAATAAAGTTCGGAAGGACTACCCTTCTGTTCAATTTACTGCCTGGAAGGTACAAAATCAAAGATAAAAAATTTTCATATCACATACAAAGCAATTGATGTCTGGCATGCAAATGTAATAAATCATGATGCTTATGACTTGCAGATTTCGCCTATAATTGGTTGGATAAACCACCGATATGTCCCACTGCAGTTCCGCGTCTTATTTATTAGCTTTGCTGCTTCATGCTGGTGTGTATTCTATGTCCTTCTGCTTAGATTCCTTTCTTCTGTAATCAATTCACCCCTCTATCAACACATGCTAATTTGTTTCTCTCGCTTGGAAGGATAAGTGGTCTGGGGTTATGTACATAATTTTTCCCTGGCAGATTAATGATTAATAAAACGAAACTGATTTTAGAAATTGGAACATTTCATTCAGTGCTGAAACCACTAATAAGCCTACTTGCAACTACTATATTGCTTCATGCATATACGTTGAATTTGTCATTATAGTTTCGCTTCTGCATATACGTCTTTGAAAGTATCTTGGTTTTTCTACTCTCAGCTCTCTTAATCATACAATTTGAAATTCTACTGAAGTTTTTTCCCCAATATGAAAGTTGAATAATCTGATGAATGCTGAAAAGATATGATAACATTGCACGCACGTACATCTTCGCTATCTAGCACTCTTAATGTAATGATGCACAATTTTCTTTCGTTGTAACACACGTTTTATCTACCTGTCAACTCCAGGTCTATCTTCCTCAATTTGAAAGCAAGATCTGTTGCAATCAAGAAGGACTAGAGGGAGGAGGAAGTGTTTCGTTTGGTTTTATTTATGTGTTCTTTGTGTTTAGGACTCTTATTCAGTGGAAAAACTTCTCAAATATTATGTCATTGCATAATTAACTTAGTTGAATGAATTGTTATCATTTATAATAAGAGTAGAGAATTTTGTTGATGTTAACATGCCAACTACTATGGTGTCGTGGAAGATTAATCTTGTGTTTGGCAACTATGTGGAAAAGCTAATGCAAGCAACTGCAGTGTAGCTCTCTCTTCTGCTTAGTTACTAGTTAGATTAGGTGAGGATGCAGAGAAATGTCAATGAATTTTTACCCCAATCTATCGTGAAATGACCCTTTACCCCCGTGGTTTTGGAAACAGTTAATATTACTCTCATTTTTTGAATTCAGACGTTAAAAATTTAAATCTTAACCATGAAAGGTCAATCTTATCAATTAATCTCACACATATAACATTATGGTGACAGAAAACCTTATCTAAATTATGAATTGATAAGACTACCCTTATAACTTTAGGTTTTAAACGTTCGTTCGAAAAATGGGTAAGGTGGATGGTTCCAAAACCAAGGGGGAAAATGTCTTTTGTGATATATTAGGGTTAAAAGTTATTCACCGTAAAAAGTAAAAAAAAAAAAAAAAAAAAAAAAAAAAAAAAAAAAAAAAACTCAATTGGGCATGACAGAATTGTATTATTGAAATTCATTTACAAATTTAGACAGTCAACTGTTTGGGGTCTAAATGAGGTGTTAGGGTCCCATGGAAACACTAGTTTTTTTTTTTTTTTTATAAATCGGAGTGTTGGTTCAGCTCACATCAACTAATCCCCAAGGCTCTAAAATATTTACAAGTTCACATTCAAATAAACATAAATATGTAAATGATTCAAGGTAATTTGACTTAAAAATCAATAAAAAGATAACCTTCTTGATTAGCAAACCAATCCCTTGAGATTAAACTTTTAATTGTTCATACTAATTTATGAAAGCATGATAATAATGCACAAGTTTATATACAGATATATACAGATTTGATTACTTTTTTAGTATAATATTATTAATTGCGTCATTGTGAAAATAAAATGATCATCCTATTTCTCCATTTTTTAGGGCATTGAATTATTGTGAAGCGTTAAAAGTCATAATCAAACATCAATGTCTTACGCCCATTAATCAATGAAAATTTATGTCACGCAACCTAAGCTGTTGACATCATTTGCCACATCAACAAATTTGTTCTCCTTCCATTTAAACCCTTACCAAAATGACACTAATAACTCCTCCAATTTGCGAAAAGCTGCAGTAATTAATTGGTTTATTACTGGGTTAGGCTATATTTAACTTAGAATTTCAAATTTTTAATTTACTATAGTGTGACCCCAACTTATTATAGGTGTTATTTATGTATCAGCTCCTTTTCTTCAACCTAATGATACTGATTAGCCTCTCTCATCTCTTCAATAAAAAATTATTATATTCAGTTCCAATTACATAATCATATTATAAAGTTAAAATTATATTTACACTTCAAATAGAAATTTATGTCAAATTTGATAAATATATTTCTCCAACGGTGACTTGTTTCAAATTATTATTATTATTACACTTAATCTCAACATTAAATTGGTAATTAGAAAAGTACTGAAATTATAACAAGACAAATTAAAGAAGCTGAGAAGCCAATTTCTGACGGAATGGGGACAAAAATGTCAATGACGAGAAAATGAAAAGGAAGGGGCAAGTAGAAAAGAACAACACTATTTTATTAGTACATAAATAAATAAAAATTAACTTTTGCATAGAATAAACATACTGGTATTGGGTAAAATACATCTCATCTCACTGCTAAGATAAATATTATTTAATCAAACCAACTATTTGATCGACGATCACGAAATTACATTAGGTATCAATCCAACCATCAGTCTACTTAAAACTTAAAAGACACGATTTGTGAGAGAAAGAAATAAAGACAACAGTAACCGTCACTGGATAACCTAATGGTAAAAGAGTAAAAAAGGATTTCATAAACTCTTGAGTTTGAGTTTCCTCAACCACTAATAGAGATGGCCACAGGGACTCTTACTCAGTCGGTGGTTTCAGGATCCCGAAAGATAGACACTGGGGTTTTTATCCAGTCGATAATTCTAAAACTCGAAGAGATTAATTAAGGTGTACATAAATTGACTTGGACATCCCGATGGTAAAAAGAAATAAAAATTAAAAATAAAAGCAACAGTAGATATATTTTTATTTATTATATTTTAAAAAAGAAGTAAATAATAATAATTATTTACTAAGAAATAAGAATGTTAAAAGTGTGAAATAAAAAGATGTTTGGGAGTAATACGAAATTTCCTTAAAATTCATATATTCTCGAAAACTTCGTCATTGGGTTTCCTGAAGAAAGACAGTTTCCTTAATATAGGAAAAGCCTATAGCTTGTGTGTCAAGCTTACTTTCCTACACCTAAATGCTCATTCGATGACACCCTTTTCCTACAAGACATTAACCAAACCATATAATATCAAATTTACAAATCAGATTGAGGTGTGCTCCATGCATTAAAGGAACATCTTCTAATTACACAGAAGAGATAAGCTTTGACAGTCTTTGCAGATTATTACAGTAATATCAGATGCAATTTCAAGTAATCAATTTAACTCTTGCGCCAGTAACATGATTTTAAATGCTGACAGATTAAACAATTTTGTCCTACATAAGTTTTAACAGATCAAGGATATCAGATTTTACACAAGTTTCTTTTCTCATTTTATTTCTAGCAGTTTAAGAAAAGTTTTCAATAACGTTTCTTAATGAAATCCCTGAGTATCTTCAAGATCAGGCTAACTAGATTTTATACCGACCACATACAAGTTTCTTTCTCGAAAGAAACAAGCAAAAAACGTTTTAAAATTTACATGGTTTTTTTTTTTTTTTTTTTTTTTTCCAGACGAATAGTGCAGGCAGCCGAAAAGAAAGCAGGTTGGCCTAGTTATCATCTTTATCACTGATATCATACAAATCTAAATGAACCAAGAGCTCCAAGACTCGTTTCTGTACGCCATGAACAACCATTTTTATACCATTATAAAGAATTATATATAACATCTTCTCTAATAAACTCTCATCAACGAGAAATCACATATATAAATCTACTTCGAACGGATAATCGCATTTACACATCAAACTCAGTGACCAGCCAAGAAAAATGAATCAAAACCAATTGGCAAAAATACTGATGCATCATAATCACCATGCAAACTAAGTCTTATCAGTAATGGTTTAGAACTAAAAACACAAATCAAGTCAATAACTGTAATTATTCTTGTATCTTCGTTAAGATATCTACCGTCTGCATGCAGATATATGCATATGTATGAACACATGCTATGATCAATGTTAACACCAAAACATGCATGCATGCAAATTGTAGATAAACACAAGCATGAAAACCATACGTAAATTAACTAGGATATATCACGTCCTACAATTAAACAAGTCAAGAACAAAAGTATTCTACAACACACAAATTGATCATTCAGATCACTACTACTAAATGAGATATATAGAGAGATTCCAATTCCATGAATTCCGCCCATTCAATCCTCATGCTCACGAGACAAACTCACTCACCACCTCGACAGACGGAGAGCCCGAGAGAGATAGACATTCGTGTACGTGGACACGATGTTTTCTGGCCAATGGAATTTAGCCAAGTAATCCCAAACAGGTCACATCTGGATCCACCGAGCCAGTTGAGTAGGATTAACTATCCCTGGGATGTGGGCCCCATCCGTCTTCAATATGCTTGCCACATCAGCATAACTTTTGTGCTCCTTGACCACGTTCGCCTGCTCTTGTACTTCCGCCTTCACCCTCTTCGACTCCACTGCCGACCCCACCAACGCCACAGCTTCAGTTCGAGCTGGATCGAACTTCTGACCGAATAAAGTCCCCTTCTTTAAGAACTCATAAGCCATGTACCCGGCTAATAGCCGATTAGAACAAACCGGCTCCGAGGAAACCGCTTTAGCATTTGTTGCATTAGCCGCAGCTTGAGTCGAAGCCGACGGCTTCAATGAGTAAAATACTTCTCTCTCTTTTCGCTTTCTCGACGCCCCAGGTGTCAAAATCCTTCGTGGGTGGTGACTCATCTCAAACATGCCACGTCAGACTAAAACTTTTTTAAACTTTTTCTGTTTCACAGGGATGTCAAAGTAAAACCGAAGGTTTAAATTTTTGGGCACAACTGTGGAATAAGAAATTTGAACTTTCTCCAAGGGTAAAAGTGTAAAATCAGGTTTCATCGAGCAGTGAACTAAAATGCCTACACGTGTTTATAACAGACTCCCTAGCTAATTTCGTTAAAGTAAATGGCAAAAGTAAACACCGTCAAGGTGAAGGGTAAGAACGTAAAACAGCCGGAGGGCATTTTAAAACATTTAAAAATCAAACAAAAAGCAACAAAATGGACTAAAATATTTTAAATGTTAAAAATGAAAAACGAAAGAGACAGATGAGGAGAACAGGAGGAGTGATTAGGTTTGGGACTTCCGAGGTTAAATATGGATCCGGAAACAGATTACCGGAAATCGGAAAATATTACCGGATCTTGGTGTACGGACAGAGGTCGAGAGGCGGCGCGGCCTGATATAGACGGCGTTGAGAGGAATTGAAAGATTTGAGAGATAGAGAGAGAGACAGAGATTGAAATGTAAAAACTAGAGGAGGAAGGGGAGAGGATGAGAGAGAGGCGGAGTCAGTTAATTTATATATGTAGGAGACTTGAAACGTCCCCTTATGTTTGATATAATATCGAGAATACCATCAACTTGTGAATGTCGAAAATATCCTCTCTCTTTTTTGTAACTTAAATCAGTTGGTAACGTTTTTCTTTAAGTTCTATTGGTCTCTCGTGGAGTTTCAGATAGGGTTTGATACGAAATTTCTGTATTGCCCTGGATTGCTTTCATCTCTTTTAGATTGTTGCTGAAAGGTGAAAACGGACCGGAAGGGACCGGAGGAGTAGTTATTGGGGTCCATATTGAATTGAGGTCGCTGTCCTTGGCCAAGACCAAGAGGTTCTTTCTGGAAATGTAAAATATTTAAAATAAATTGATTTTAATAAATAATTCTATGATTAGACAACTTTACTTTTACCATTTTTCTTCTGC